CTTCCATACAACCAATCAAATACAATCAATTGGTTTAATTTTTGTCAAAAAGTGTGCCATTAGATTATCGATTTTTTTCTAGTTGATAAATTGTGGTACTTATTCTCGAAAGCAGAGGCAGCACAAAAAACCTGATTCCCAAATTCCCGGAATCGATATGTTTCGTTTAGTCGCTCCCTTGTCTCAATTTTCTCCCTTTTCTCCCTTTCTTGCATTTCTGGCAATGCATTGCCAGAAATGATCCTTCAGATTCGGAATCAGCACAATTTTTCGCATCTAAAAGAGGTACTCCCAGAAAAATCCTATAGAAAACGCATTTTCGCGGCGATGTGCAATGCATTTGTGCATTTTCCCTGAATTTCCTTTATTCCTGAATAAAGTATGAATCAAAAATGAGGATGAGATTCGCTAAAGATCTTTATGAAATGTCTATATGAAACAATTACAAATCCAGTCGATTAGAAAATATCCGAATAGTAAAATCTTTTTGAAAAATATTGTCACCGGTGGAAGTCGAACCAGCGACCCTCAGATCAATAGCCTTTAACTCCGGTGGTGTTTTTTTTCATCAAACAAATAAACAAAAAAAAAACAACACCCCCAACAAACCCCCCCACTTTTCCTTCCCCTCACCCCCCCCCCCCCACCCCCCCCCCCCCAATTTTTTTTTTAATTCCCCCCCCCCCCCCCCCAAACCCCCCCAAAAAAAACCCCCTCCCCCTTTAAAAAAAAAAAAAAAAAAAACAAAAAAACCGCCGGTTTTTGCCGATTTTCCTTCGTTTTTCTCGTTTTTCTCGTTTTTTTTGTTTTGTTTGTGCGAACTTTGGCTGGACAACTTTTTTTTAAAAACAAAAAAATCTGAGGGTCGCTATTGATATTGATCTGAGGGTCGCTGGTTCGACTTCCACCGGTGACAATATTTTTCAAAAATTTTTTGCTAAGATTCTGAAAATGCGTGTCTAGGGGTTATTTTTGACGCTGATCACGAAACACATGTTTTTAGCCTAGGTTTCTGCACGGAAAACTAGCGAAACGTGAAAACAGCCATTTTTTTTTGGCTCTGCCGCCCTTTACTAAAATAGCTGTAAAAACTTTTAGAAAAGAGATATCTCAAAACGTTTTTTACCAATCGATCCGTCTTGAATTCAGCTTTAGGATGAGCTATAAAACGTCAAAATTGAGCAAATGAAGGTACTCTCTCACAAAAAAATCGGAAAGGACTTTTCCATCAATCAATACAATCAATAACTTCCATATAGAATGTTTTTTATAAACTTTTTTTTTCATTTTATAAATCGTATCTTGAACATTCAGATGATTACCGTTAAAATTTCCCCTTTTCCCCATCGAATTTCTAATTTTCCTGAAGTTTTCCTGAATAAAAGAAATTTATGAGTGCTCTTGGCATAATTAAATCGAGTTTTTATTGTTGAGCCCCATAAAAGAAACGAAAAAAAAAAAAGTTGAACTTGTTTTAAAATTGAATTTAAACAAATTGAATCTCTTTTTATACAATAATAAATTCAAAATAAAACAAAACTCTTTTATTTCTCTTGAATTTTGTTGCATTTTGTTGCTTTTATTGATTCCAATTTGATTTTGATTGATTTTCGTAAAGAATCCAAACTCTGAGATGCTTTTTTTTTTGGTGTTATTCGTTTCCGGTTTCAAAATGAAAGCAATTTCTTTTGTTTACTGATTTTCCACAAAATGTTAATCAATTTTGAAATTGTTGATAACAATAATGAGCTGTTGGAGCAGTGAAACAACTCCTCCACACTCTCTCAGAGTCTGGATACGAAAATCAATCAAATTTCTTTCCCAGATTATTACTTGATTGAAAGAGAGAATCAGACAAGCAAAGAGAATAAAAATCCCTTCTTTCCAATCTTTATTTTATCCAAATCGAGGGGTTTTGTCTGCAGTTGCCCGGGTGACCGTCCTCGGCAGCGATTGTGAGAAGAGATCAAGAAAAGGAGAGCTGTACGATATTTCCCCATCAAATATCCTCTTTTCATTACTCATTTTAATTAGGAATCCCCAAGTTTACAATTCTATGCGTAAATTTCTTTGTATGAAGAAAGATTTTGTTCCAATCTTGTTCCAATCTATTCCAGTCTTGTTCCAATCTTGTTCCAATCTTGTTCCAATCTGTTTCAATCTGTTTCAATCTTGTTCCAATCTTGTTCGAATCTGTTCCGATCTGTTCCAATCTTGTTCCAATCTGTTCCAGTCTGTTCCAATCTTGTTCCAACCTTGTTCCAATCTTAGTTTCATTTCTTGTCCATTGATTTTCTTTAAGTATTCCCAAAAAGTCCTTCCAGAAATGGATCAAGTGCGAGCACAAACCGAGCAACTCCGAATTGAGGCGCAAGTGCAGCGGAAGAAAGTTTCTGAAGTCAGCAAAGAGTGAGTTCATGCTATAAAACCATTAAAAATCAATACTTTTAACTTCAATTAACTTTAATTTTAACTTTAACTCAATACTTTTAACTTCAATTCAAATTAATTAAGAGTTGTAATCAAAAAGCCATCATTAGAATCGTAGTCTGTCTGTCTACTAAATTTCCTTTTTATGCCTTGGCAAAGTATCCACAACCTTTCATATAACAACAGTAACCAGTTCTGATTTGCAATTGTAACTGTTACTTTTCAACTATCAATCAGAAAATCTCTTAGAAACCGTAGAAACCGTTCTCTTTATCTATATAATTCTGGATTAAGTTGATTGATGTGTTGAAAATCGAATGTGCTGAAAGTTTAGAAAAACGAATATAACAAACAGTACGTTACGTACAGTACTGGACAATGAAATATGATATTTGAAAAAAGATCGTCACTTTCGCGCGTCTATAACTCTCTTGTCTTTGAGTTTAAACTATTAGTGTTATACATTTTCTGAAAGCTCTTTTCAAGGGCTACACAATGGTAATATTAATATCTAGAAATACGGTAAAGACAAGGGAGTTACAGACGCACGAAAGTGACGATCTTTTTTCAAATATCATATTTCATTGTCCAGTAGTGTAGTTTTGTTTTCCGTCAAATCGCCTATTATAAAAAAAATTGGTCACTTTACACAGAAGCGACCAAAATCACCTACATTTGGCGCTTCACTACTCGATGATAACAAAAAATTAGGAAAGGCCACGGAGTAGACTTTGCCAAAATCTTGTCGGTGATTATTTTACTTCCAAAACCGTATTAATTGACCAACTCACAAAAAAGTTATAACGTTTTGAAGACAAAAATCACGTTTGACGACTTTCTGCGCGCTAAAACGTGGATAATACCGTAACCCTTTCTATGATGGAAAACAAAACTACACTACTGGACAATGAAATATGATATTTGAAAAAAGATCGTCACTTTCGTGCGTCTGTAACTCCCTTGTCTTTACCGTATTTTAAATATTAATATTACCATTGTGTAAGCCATTGAAAAGAGCTTTCAGAAAATGCATAACACTAATAGTTTAAACTCAAAGACAAGGGAGTTACAGACGCGCGAAAGTGACGATCTTTTTCAAATATCATATTTCATTGTCCAGTAGTGTATTTTATTCTTTCCCTCTTTCTCTTGACAAGTAAAGCCACCGGATCGCTTAGTGGTTAGAGGAATTGTCGAGGTCGAGGGTTTAATCGGTTCTCCGGAAATCTTTCTTGTCAATTCCTTTAACTAATCAGTAAGGAAGAGGAGTTTAGGAGAAACTCACAAAGAATCATTTATAGTTTAATCGAGTATTGCGAGAAGAACAAAGCCGCAGATATGCTTGTCTCGGGTCCAATCGATAATCACAATCCATTCCAAGAGAAGAAAAGTTGCGCCGTTTTATAAATCCAAGAAAGTTGTTGTCTTTAGAGTTTTTTCTTTGTCTTTAGAGCTTTACTTTTTGTTTCAACAATTGAAAACGCCAACTTTCTAGCGCACTGAGTTCTTTAAATTCTTGTAGAATTGCCCCAGAAGGGCAATCTATGCTCTAGATTTGAATTGCCTCAGAAGGGCAATTCAAATCTAGAGCATAGAGTCCATCAAATGAAATTCAATCAAAGTAAACACTTTATTATCTAGTTCATTAAAAGAAAATGTTTCCATTTTTTAGCACAATAAAGCTGCCTGATGCTATTAAAATTGATAATTCTATGCGCTAGATAATAAATGTTTACAATAAACTCTTCCATCTCATTTTCACATATCATTTACGTACCGTAAATACTGTAATAGTACCCCACCCTCCTCGTACAGTCGCGTAGTCGCAAAAGTTTTTTAGTAGCTCATTTTTTTAAAGCGCCCATACTTTCAAAAGCGTCTTTGGTATCAAAAAATAGCTGAAATTCAGGGCTATTTTTTGATACCAAAGCGAGCATTGTAGCATAAACCAGTGTCGAGAAAACCTCGTTCAAAGCTAGACTACACAACACTCCGCACCGTCATTATCTTTGGTATCAAAAAATAGCTGACTATTTAGCTAAAAATAGCTCTAAAACCTGGATACTACCGTATTTCTACCATTTAACAAAAATTTGAAAGTAGTTAGCGATGCGCCTGAGCTACATATCTCTAGAGAGCTTGCTGCACCTACCCCCACCCCGGGCCTGCCTATTTTTCGCCCGTACTTTCAAAAAATGCGTCTTTGGTATCAAAAAATAGCTGAAATTCAGGGCTATTTTTTGATATCTAAACGAGCATTGTAGCATAAACCAGTGTCGAGAAAAACTCGTTCAAAGCTAGACTACACAACACTCCGCACCGTCATTATAGCGGTGGGGCACTATTACAGTATTTACGGTAAATATTATTCATTTAAGCTTATCTAATCAACTTTTAAATCCAAATATTTCTCCTTTTTAAATATCATTTTTTTTGTGTGCCAATCTTTTTCTTTGATTTTATAATTTTGTGCCAAGATAAATATTAAAAAGTTTATTTAAAATTGAGCAAAAGATTCGATTTATAAAAGATTACATTAAAAAAAGTTAAAAAACGATATTTAATACCTATTGAGCTCTGGTTAGATAATACGTCCAATAGATAATGTTAAAAATTGTGAAAAGAAATGGGAATGAAATGATCGACCATTTGTCGATCTCATCACATGTCCATTTCTGTTTCCAAGAGAATTTCGAAATGAAACGAGGAAACCATTGATGGGGTTTCTTGAAGGAAGAAGAGATCTCTTCTGTCCCTTCTAGCAGCAACATTCTCTCCGCGATTCTGCAATTGAGTCAAATCTGTCATATTGTCATTGAAAATAACTAGACGATCCTGGAAAGGTTGAAATTTACGAGATTGGCTTTCTTGATTTTCAGAATTTCTCTTTTCTAGTCTGGTTTTGGAGTTATTTAGATTTTTAGCTTCTAGAACAGCTTTGAAAATGAAGAACTCTGGAAGCATAAAATTAAGATGAGATTTTGAAATGAATATGTTTTTTTTGTTACTGATTTTGAATCTGCTTTTCGAATCGGAATATATGCTTCACAATTAATAGAATCCTCAATCAAAATCTGTTACACAATAGCAACATTCTCTCCGCGATTCTGCAATTGAGTCAAATCTAAGTTATATTAGGCTTCTTAAAGATTAAATGATTGAAAATAACTGGAAAGTTTGAAATTTGCAAGATTGGCTTTCTTGTTTTTCAGAATTTTTCTTTTCTAGTCTGATTTTGGAGTTCTTTTGGGCTTTCAGCTAAATCCTAGAACAACTTTGAAAATGAAGAACTCAGGAAGCATAAAATTTAAGATGAGATTTTGAAACGAATATGCTTTTTTGTTACTGATTTCGAATCTGCTTTTCGAATCTGAATATACAATTAATTAATAGAAATTAATAGAATTAATATTTACAATTAGCTTTACAATTAATAGAATCCTCAATCAAAATCTGTTATACAATAGCAAAATTCTCTCCGCTATTCTGGAATTGAGTCAATTTTTGGTTAAAGTGTTCAAATTTCCTTTTAACCCTAATGGAATCGTTTATTTACATAGAATTCTTGATTCTCATATGCAATTCTGCTATTTGAGCTGTAAAGCAGAATTTGTGCATTTACAGTCATTTCTCCTACAGTAGTCCATATTCTATTTTGTAGCTAATAAGTAGGTTTACATGATACCTGATAATTCCATTTCTCTTCACTTTCAGGGAGAGTTTTTTTAATGAAACTTGACAAGTGAGCTATTGAAAAACGCAAAGTAATCGTTCTATTTTTGAAGTCACTATTTTATCGATCATTTACCCTTTTCAAAGCTCTTTGATGTTGATAAATAAATATTTTATCGATCATTTAACCTTTTCAAAGCTTTTCAAAGCTCTTTTATCGATCATTTACCTCTTTCTAAACTCTTTAATGTTGATAAATGCGAAGAGAATTCTTTCTACTCACCCATCCGGAAGATTCCTCGTCACTTGAGCCGAATCCGCTGAAATCAAGATCCTTTTCCTTGCCCTTGGATCATCGATGTCTAAAATTTGATAGTTTAAAAATTTTAAAGGTTCCTCGTAAACCGCATGCTCTACTTCACTCTGTGAAATCTCATGCTGAACTCAAGCTGAACTTTCCCCATTCTACTCAAGCTGAACTTTCCCCATTCTACTAAAGCTGAACTTTCCCCATTCTACTCAAGCTGAACTTTCCCCATTCTACTCAAGCTGAACTTTCCCCATTCTACTCAAGCTCAACTTCCCCCATTCCTCTATTTCACTTGGTGAAATCTCATGCTGAACTCAAGCTGAACTATCCCCATTCTACTCAAGCTGAACTCTCCCCATTCTACCCCATACCTGTACTACCATATGATTTGAAAGATGGTCTTTCATTGTCTTTCACACCTTCTTCTTCTTCAGGTGGAATGTGATTTCGACAAATTCTTGGAGAAATTGGGGATAACATTGAGATTTCCGGATGGTTAGAGTCTGATAGAGAGCGAATCGTTCTCTCTATTGGTGGTGATGAGGGTGGAGGGGTTGGTGAGTCGCTCTTTGACTGAAATCTTCAACTTGAATCTTCAACTTCTATTATTAGCATATAGTAATCATTTATCTATAAGCGCTTTAAATCTTAAGCCAAAAAAATCTTTTCCTCACCTCTGATTTCGCTCCCATCGCTCCAATCAACGCCAACTCGAGAAGCGAGCAAAAGACAAATGTAAGGCAAACCAGCATCCAAACATCTAGAGGTTTTTATAAAATCTAAAATCTAAAGCTTTTTACCTAAAGCTTTTACATAGGAGACTCTAGGTAGATTTCGCATAATATTTCCGAATTGGAAAGTGAGTGCCAATAGAGAATTCACACCCAACATTGTCCTCGCTGGAATCATCTTTGGCCCCAAACAGAAAGAAATCCAACTAAAATTTCAATGTACAAACTATTGGGTTGGTGAATTGAAAAATGCCGGCTTTGCTTTATATATGAATGAAGATGCTGTAAATTTGTACTCTAGGGTTTTCGGGACCGGGGAATCGATTCGAGCTATTCATTTTATTGTGTCTACAAAGTGGAAATCGGGGTTTAACTGTTAATATATTGGGTTTGTGAATTGAAATTGTCATATGTGACAGTTTGAGGACTTTCTTCAAAAGAAACCCATTTTGGTGTCAATGGAAAAGTTGTAGAGAATCAAAAATCAAGCTTATATCCGAATTTTCAGAACGATTCAAAAACTGGTTTTCAAGAAATGCCGAATTTATAAGAATTTTCACAAAACTTGCATTTTAAGCGAAACTACTAAGTGTATCTTTTTGGAAATTTGGCTATAAGCCTCATTTTTGATTCTCTACAACTTTTCTATTGACACCAAAATGGGTTTCTTTTGAAGAAAGTGCTCAAACTGGGACATTGGGCATCTCCAGTCCTCCATTTTTGAGTCTCACACTTGTCTCACACAAAAACCAAAATCCTACTACGAAAGAGGAATCCGCAAATTGCCTGTAAAATGGGCAGAAGTCGTTAATAATAATGAAAATTATTTCGAATGAATCCATGGTTTTATGTTGAATAAATTTTAGTTCAAAGTCCGGCAGTTTTCAATTCACCAACGCAATAAAAGAACTAAAGAGGACTTGAGTGCACTACCGTTTGAGGACTTTAGCCTACTTTAGACACATTCTTTCTGGTTTAAAGTAGTGTTAAAGCAGAATTTGTTCATTTACAGACATTTCTCCTATTAGTAAGCCATATAGTAAGTAGCTAAGAAGTAAGTTTACCTAATAAAAATCGTCAAATATGTTGGGATGTAGGCTTGAAAGATGTACCATCCATATCGCCGGGAGAAGACGAACTCCATCGTTAACTCATTCCAAACACCAGCTGGATAGATCTAAATAAATCTATTAAGAAATTCAAAGAAATTCAATTATATTGGGTTGGGGAGAATGAGTCGGCGCCGAAAATCAAAAAAATGTCTAAAACTTCAATTCGACTTCGTCAAATAATATGCGTTTGATATGAGTAGAATGGTTAACTAATTCTCTACAAAATGACATTTAAAAGAAAATTCAAACAGCGCCTCCGCTCAAGAAAAAGCCATTTTTTCACAAAAACTACAAACTGTCATCCAGAAAAAACCATTGGTGGGATCTTCCTGCAAATTTGGCAACTTAAGTAATTGAATGTGCTCTATCTTTTTTATATAAACACCAAAGAAGGTTTATGTGAAAGAAACTGTTCAAATGATGAGTCGGACTCTTTGCCATTTTAACCAGCTGCGTTTCGAAGTTCATAAACTCCACGAAAGAAAAGCTTTGTGGAATCTCTCAAAAGTGATTTTGTAGAGAAATAGTGGATCCTTTTGATGAAACCAAACGTATGTTTAAAGAAGGCTTTATGTGTGCAAAAAGTCCCTTTAAAGTTTCGCGCCGACTCATTCTCCCCAACCCAATAAATATGATTTTTGGCATAGGATAGTTAGAAGATTGAACTCTCTTCCATACCCATGCTTGCTGAAAACGCGGCTGAAAAGGTTTTGAATAACTTTTTTGTAATCTTTTAAAAACTGCTGCTAAAGTAACCATTTTTTCGTTTAGGAATCTGTTACTTGTAAAGCCGTTGCAAGCATACCACTCAATTAACAGCTAAACTATTTATGGTTCAGGGATGGCGCATCACAGTGTGACGCAGCTTCACTTCTTCATCACACTGTGTTTTTCTTTATTGGCCCAGGTGCTCTGGAAAACCATGTGGATGCACCATCCGCAGACCACAAATAGTTTAGATGCAAAATTTTCAAAACAAATGCTAATTGGGTAATATGCGTGCAACATACACTGTGGTGCAAAAGTCCTGACCGGTCGCACTGTCCTATCAAGTCTGAACCATTTCGCCAGAAAAAGAACGTTAAAATTTTATGGTAAAAACGTTTTTGGATAGCTTAAACCTTCTACTTTTATAATCCAAAGAATGAAAGCAATAACATTTTATTTAACAAAAATTTTTGACAATATTCCGAAACGACCCAAAAAAAACATGGTGCAAAAGTCTTGACCGGTTTTTTATTTCTTGATTTTTTTTGGTATTTCTTGTCTTTCTGCATAAACTTTTTGGTTCTAATTTTATTTTTTTGAGATGCCAGGACGATATCTATCAACGCCTGACAAAGAGAAAATTGTCGAGAATCGAACAAAAGGCGTTCGCGTGAAGAATGTGATGGAAACGTTCAAGTGTTCTGAAAAAACAGTGAGACGTCTCGTGGCGCAATTCAAATCAAAAGGAAACGTTCATAGAGCCCCAAAAAGAGGTCGACTACCAATTACAACACCAAATGAGGATCGTTCGATCATCAGGGAGCACCGAATAAACCCTAATCTAACGTCGAGCCATGGGATCAAGAAGTTGAAGGCTGTTTCTGGCAAGGATATTTCCCGATGGAGTCTCAATAGGCGATTGATTCGAGCTGAATTACATGCGAGAAGACCAGCGAAACGACCCTTGACGAATGCGAGAACTCGGAAGCTAAGATATGCTTTTGCAAAGAACTACGAGTTTTGGACTTCCGATGATTGGGCCCGAGTCATTTTCACCGATGAGACTAAAATTAATTTGTACTACCCGGACGGCAACCATTTAATCAGAAGGCCAATTGGACAACGTTATAAGCTCAAATACGTTAAACCAACGGTCAAATTCGGCGGTGGGAGCATTATGTTGTGGGGTAAGTGTTCGCCTTACTTTTTACTTACAATCTGTCTTCTTTAGGCTCGATGAACCGAGGTGTACCGGGGCCCCTAGTGCTTATCAATGGAACTCTTGATGCTCAGGGGTACGAGTCGATCATGGAGAACAACCTACTTCCATTTGCCAACGCAAACATGCCACAAGGATGGGCCTTATATCAAGACAACGCCCCATGCCACAAAAGCCAATTACTGATGGGTCGAGTTGTCCGGCTTACAAATGGAGGTAAAGTTCGCCTGCCCGGCTTTTTTGCTGCTCATCGTGTGGAATTGATCAAAGCACCTCCCTATTCGCCGGATCTGAACGTTATAGAGCATCTTTGGGCCCATTTAAAAGCCAAACTCAAGGGACGCCGGTTCAACTCAAAGGTCGATGCTTATTTCTTTATCAGAAATGTTTGGAGACAACTTTCTTGGGAATTCTACGTGATTTGGTCGACTCGATGCCTAGACGCATCTAGGCAGTCATTGTCGCAAAAGGAGGACCTACGAAGTATTGAATTTTCTTGTGTTTTCTTGTACCGGTCAAGACTTTTGCACCATGTTTTTTTGAGTCGTTTCGGAATATTGTCAAAATTTTTTGTTAAATAAAATGTTATTGCTTTCATTCTTTGGATTATAAAAGTAGAAGGTTTAAGCTATCCAAAAACGTTTTTACCATAAAATTTTAACGTTCTTTTTCTGGCGAAATGGTTCAGACTTGATAGGACAGTGCGACCGGTCAGGACTTTTGCACCACAGTGTATTCACAAGTATCGGAAATTTTTTAAAAACTTCAAATGTAGACTTTATTTTTTAGTTTCTTTTTGAAAATCTTAAAGATTGCTGAAAGAAACCTCATTTTTTAGTTTCGTTGTGTAGTTAGTGAGAACGAAATCTGGCAAAACGATCTCATCCTTCAGGAGAATCAATGGACCGGTGGGGGAATGATGCCATTTCATATCCACCTAGTAACGAGTGTTTTAAAACCTTGTTTTAAAAGAGCTTTCATTTTTATTAAATATCGTATTTTCTCTAATAGTAGTGCACCCCGGCGAGCCGAGTTGGTGACGATTTTACGGTTTTCAAGCTTTTGCAGAAGCTCAACACTCAAATCCCCCACAAGATCTCATCGTCAGCTACATTTTCCGACCCCACATCGATAGGTTCTGATAAGCGGTTCTCGAGATTTCGAGGAATTTAGGCAAGGCTCAGGGTGCACTGCTATTAGAGAGAATACGGTATCTAAAGACGAAATGGATCTAAATATAGCTTTCGTCAGAATAGATTTATCAAAAGAATATCAAAAGAAAGCCTGTATTCGGAATCAGCATGAAATTCTTCGAATAAATGATCAGTCAGCTCCTGTAAACCCTCAATTTCCTCACTTCTTGATTGTTATAGCTGAAAGACTCCAAAGTGAGATAACACGTTTGTTGATCCATTGGGAAAGAGCTGAAAGAGTTATTTGTGAAGGAAACTATGTTGAAAATCATTGTCAATGTATTAAAAAGTCTTTTGGTTACATTTTCTTGCTTTTACGATAGAAAATCTAGATAGTTTTGTTCTAAGTTGGTTTAAAGTAAGATACTTGAAGTTTTCTTCTAGATAATCTAGACAGTTTGGTTCTAAGTTGGTTCTAAGTTGGTTTACAGTAAGACACTTGGTCTTTTTTTGAAATTCTCACCTAAAATCCATTCTGCACGGTCCTTTAACTTGTACTCGATAATTCACCCAAACAGTTCCATTCGGGTAAATCATTAAGAAAACATTTTTGAATGGAGATGTGTGAATTCTCGCCGATTTACTATTAATAAATACAGTGTTCGGTTTCCAGATTTGGTCAAGAATCTAGAAAAACTCAATTGATATCGTCAATGATTTTGTTCACCTCTGAATTGAGTGACAGATTGTACTTGCAAGGGTTGAGATGCTCGTATTTGAGGGCTTGATCCACCCACAATTCAGTGACATAAATGTCCATGTCGAAGTCGGAAGCAAGTTCATTTACCGCATTCACTTCTTGCACCCAAACCTTGAAACTTTCTGTAGAAACTTTCTAGAAAAGAGTCAGATAATTTTAGAGAGAGGACTAGATACTACATAAAATTTACTAGTTTAGCATAAATTTTATTTACCTACTATTGTCTACTGTCTACTACCTACTATTTACGTACTACTACGTACGTAAACAGTTTATGTTTACGTTTGTCTACCTACTACTGTCTGTCTACCTACTGCTGTTTGTATATCTACTACTGTTTGTCTACCTACTATTGCTTGTCTACCTACTACTGCTTGTCTACCTACTACTGCTTGTCTACCTACTACTGCTTGTCTACCTACTACTGCTTGTCTACCTATTACTGCTTGTCTACCTACTATTGCTTGTCTACCTACTACTGCTTGTCTACCTACTACTGCTTGTCTACCTATTACTGTTTGTCTACCTACTGTTTGCCTACCTACTACTGCTTGTCTACCTACTGATATCTACTGTTGTCTAATATTTATATCTTTAAAAACTATAGCCTAACTAGGGAATGATGACTCAAATTGGTCTTTTAATTCGCGTTGTTGGGCTTGTTGTTGTTGACGTTGTTGGAAAATATTGGACCACTTTTCCCATTAGCAATCTAACTTTGAGCTCAAATTTCTTGGTGTTGGGCTGTTCAATTTAAATATTCTTGATATCATTAGATGCGCCTCTGTAGGTATAAAAATAGCGTCTATTTTATGTGACTTCTAGCTAAAGCCATCAATGATCACTCACCTCAATCCAGACTTCAACTCCCGTCTCACTGGGTGTCTTGAAGGTCTTATAACTGTCTTTGAGCTTCTCAATGATTGTTTTATCACTTGTACAATGTGATTCCTCTTCTAACCAAGATCCGCCAACAATTTGCGATTGTTCTTTCCGAGGGAGCATCTCATTTTCCTAAATTCCATTGAATCAAAATAAAATTTACATTCAGCATTTAAACCCTGAACTTTGTCTTTTAAAAAGCGGGTTCTGGTAAACGAAGAAACCGTGCTAAAAAGCACAAAATACAGGGTTATCACGTTAGTTCACAGCACTCTGGTTAAAGGACTTAAAAAGATTATTGGGTTGGATGGGTTAGTGGAGCAATAGATGGGAAATGATTTGGGATGAGAAATGAGGATGGGTTAGTGGAAATGAAAAAGATCTGTTCACCCACTGGTGAATGAGATTTGAGTGATGGAATGACATCGTTCATTTCTCTCTTTTCACTTCTTTCTTCATTTCCCTCTACCTGACGATAACGTTCTCTCAAATTGTTGAGAATCATGTTGTTCTGGGTGTACAATTTCCAGTAATAACTCTAAAAGGGACAAGTAAATGGATGGATTTAGAGATTAGAGTAAATGGATTCTAAGACCAGTTTGTTTAACTAAGATATCTTTCTCAAACTAGGCTTATCCAACTTCTCCAACTATCAGTTTCCATTTGGATCAACTCTTTTAAGTTGAATCTTTTGATTTCAACTACCAGCTTGTTTATCTAAGATATCTTTCTCAAACTAGGCTTATCCAACATATCCAACTTCTCCAACTATCAGTTTCCATTTGATCAACTCTTTTGAGTTAAATCTTTTGATTTCAACTATCAGTTTGTTTAACTAAGATATCTTTCTTAAACAGATAAATTTTAGAATAGCATTCTTTACTAGAAAAACTGTTTATCTTGTCTTTAAACGATTCCTTTCGACACGCTCAATTTTTCCAGAACAATTTTTCAAATTACCAGAACCTACTGATGAAAAATGAAAAATTGAGTGTGTCAGGAAAGTTTTCTTTTCAATTTGAAGAACGTTAAAGATAAATTAATCTTAAAAGATTATCCTCTAAGCACTGAAAGTCGAACTTTAAGCACTAAAAGTTGATAATCTTTAAATTTCTTCAAAGCTTACCTCAACATCAGTGGAATCATTTCTCGGATCATCCTTGCTTTCATATGCTTGTGCTATAAAAGTGGCTCGACTTTTACGATTTTGTTGTTCTTTTTGTCGGATTTTCTTCTGATCTCTTTCATTTTTTGAGATCGATGTGACGAGCAATAGATGGGACATGATTGAGATGAGAATGAGAGGAGAGGAGCGCATCCAATGAGTCAGTGCAAGTGGAACTCACATCCGAACAAAGTCTGAAGACTTGAGTGTCTAGAAAGGATTTTCAATTACAGTAAACAATCAATACAATTCAATTTACGTATTGAAATGAAAGTAATTGAGAGAAAAGTTTTCAGGAAATTCTTAATTATTAGTGTTGATTGACGTAGATCGGGGTAATTATTGGAGGAAAGTCTTTTGCAATTTTGAGTTTATAATTATAGTGATGGTTAGAAATGGATGACTGCGTAGGGAGGGAATTCAGGAAATGAACAAGAAGTCAGTCTTGGTTTTTGATCAGGCTTCTGGTTTGTCCTGTCTTACACCCCAGTTCGGATGATTTGATGGGTTTACAAATTTTTGGAGACACTGCAAGGCTTGGAGAAAAACAAGATCGTCACTCATCAGACACCTCAGCTAAAAGGCACCTATTTGAGAAAACTAAAACCATAAGCGACCACAAATGAAAAAAGATCTAATTGTGTCAATCAAAGCGCTGAAGACGTCCTACGATGGAGGAGATCCAGTCACTTTTGGTGAAGATGCGCTGGAAATTGATAAGATAGGAAGCCGATTTGTACTGCTGTACTTGAGCCGAACTGCTGTATCTATACAGATGTCGGATCTATACAGAGCAGACTAGCTACCGTAAATACTGTAATCGTACCCCCTCGTACAGTCGCGTAGTCGCAAAAGTTTTTTAGTATTTCATTTTTTTCAAAGCTTTCCGTAATATCTCTAATAGTAGCGCGTCCCTGTAATGACGGAGCGTCGCGTAGTCTAACTTTAAACGCATTTTTCTTGTCACCTGTTTATGCTACAGTGTGCGCATAAGTACCAAATGAAAGCTGAAATTCAGGGCTATTTTTTGGCTACCTAAGCGCGCATTGTTGCATAAACCAGTGTCGAGAAAAACTCATTCCAAAGCTAGACTACGCAACACTCCACACCGTCATTATGGGGGTGGGGTACTTTTAGAGTATTTACGGTAGTTATTGCAAAAATAGACTCCTCTAAAACCTGGATACTATCGTATTTCTATCATTTAACAAAAATTTGGAAGTGGTTAGCGATGCGCCTGAGCTACATATCTCTAGATAGCTTGCTGCACCTACCCCCACCCCGGGCCTGCCTATTTTTCGCCCGTACTTTCAAAAAATGCGTCTTTGGTATCAAAAAATAGTTGAAATTCAGGGCTATTTTTTGATACCAAAGCGAGCATTGTAGCATAAACCAGTGTCGAGAAAAACTCGTTCAAAGCTAGACTACACAACACTCCGCACCGTCATTATGGGGGGTGTGGGACTATTACAGTATTTACGGTAAATAGTTTTATAGAACTATCAAGATAAGTTTTAGGTACACTTCAACCCTATCAACGTGAGCAGAGCTGGTTAAACAGATATCAGGAATAAAGTGATGTCAACCTGGTCAGGGAGATTGGTCCTAGAAAATTCTAGGTTGATAGAATTGATAAAATCTTTATCAAAGAAAGAACGAAAGCTTATTCTTTGCGTAAAACCTTTTCCTAGCTAGCGGTTGTTATAGAAAAGAAAATTGAGAGAGAAAAACGCGTAAAAGAGTAGTGAAGATTGAGATTTATGAGCGAATTGGTGAAACGAATGAAAGCAGTAAAAGTGAGATGGATATTTTGGGAGAAAGAAAAGAAAATCTCCGCCAAAACTTCAGAAAAGCGATGACGATTTGGATGAAGGCTTTCAATGGCCATAGAAAAATGATTTTTTTGGTGAAATCTCTTCTAGAAAATGGCTTAAACGTGTAAGATTTGGAAAGTGAAGTGAATTGCAGAAAGAAGCAAGACAGGCCTGGGCGGGCTTCCAATTGCATTTCTGCATTTCACAAAAAATTGTCTAACCATTTGCTTAGGCAGTATGCAAAAAGAGGTTTAAACATGAATTGGAATCATATTGAAGTTCTAAATCTTATTAAAGTCTTTTGAGTACTTTTTACTTCATTAATAGTCCAGCTGCATTTCTACCTTCCACAGAAAAGTGTCTAACCATTTGCTTAGGGAGTCACAGCATTTACTTAGGCGGTATGTAACGGTAAATTTAACATGAAATGAGTCAGATTGAAGTTATAAATCATATTATTAAGTATTTGAGAGTATTTTTGAGTATTTTTACTTCATTAATAGTCCAGCTGCATTCTCAATTTCCACAGAAAAGTGTCTAACCATTTGCTTAGTGCTCACCATAAGCCGAGTCAGATCCAGTTCTGGCCTAGCTTGGTTGATACATTTGATAAAATTTATAATTATTATTATTATCTATCTATTATTCTATCTATCTACAGAGTGACGCACAATTACCCTCACTCAGTTCAGATTCTCTAGCTTCTCTAGCTTTCTCTAGCTCTAGATTCTCTAGCTTCTCTAGCTTTCTCTAGCTCTAGATTCTCTAGCTTCTCTAGCTTTCTCTAGCTCTAGCTTCTCTAGCTTTCTCTAGCTCTAGCTTCTCTAGCTTTCTCTAGCTCTAGATTCTCTAGCTTTGCGAAGAGTCAGTCGTAATTATTATCAAAATGAATATTTCTCCTGGAATTTGTTTTCTGGATTTGTTTAGAAAAGTTTCTAAACTTTTGCTAGAGCGTTGCAAAGTTGCGACACGCTTTTCCTGCGGCGGAATTGCGATTTTCTTTTTGTAACTAGTTTCAATGTCTCAAAATCTAAGAAAACCATCTTTATTTACTCATTTTTACTAGAAAAATAAATGAATTTCGGTTAGAGATTAAAGTTCAAAATGTGAATTTGAACTGAGCGAGTAATTGTGTGTCACCCTTATACAGCTTATGTGATAGGCCAGCAATATTCCGATCGAATCAAGTCAGACTCAAGGCAGATCGATGTCTGACTTCTAAGCACAGCTGCAACTTATAATTTCTTTATCTAAACTTTGAAAATGCTAAGTTCTGCTGTAAATGCTATATAAAATTAGAATCAAATCCAGCAACAGATAGCCAGAAAGGTGAAAACATTATTTTAGAACCTTTCTTTTAAGTTCTATCAAAAATAAACAAAAATAAAGTGACTTATTGAGGTCTGAAATCCTTGAGTGAGCTGAGAGATTGAGTTATCGCCTAGGTGAAAGCTAATTTGTGCTCGGGGCAAATCAATTGCTGAGATCAATGATTGAATTTTTTTTTGAGGTAAATTGATAATCAATGAATCTGAAAAAATCTGTACAACTTTAGTGAACAAGTAATCTAGCCTTAACTAGTAATCATTAGCTTAAGATAAACTCAAGTATAACCTTAAGTAATCGAATCGAATCTTAACTAGTAATCAATAGCTTAAGAGAAACTCAAGTATGACCTTAACTAGTAATCGAACCGAACCTTAACTAATAATCAATAGCTTAAGAGAAACTCAAGTATAACTTTAAGTAATCGAATCGAATCTTAACTAGTAATCAATAGCTTAAGAGAAACTCAAGTATGACCTTAACTAGTAATCGAACCGAACCTTAACTAATAATCAATAGCTTAAGAGAAACTCAAGTATAACTTTAAGTAATCGAATCGAATCTTAACTAGTAATCAATAGCTTAAAAGAAACCCAAGTTAAGTAATCGAAAGTAATCGAAAGTAATCGAAAGTAAAAGTAAACGATTTCAACTGGACTCAAATCGTTTACTCATCATCGACAAAAAGAAAAGTTTACTTAAAAGTAAGCTAAAAGTGAACTATGATACTTGAAGCATTCTCCCAAAAATAGCAAAATTTAAGGATCAAGAAACGTTCAACTTCAATGACTCTCGCTTTTCACAGATTCGGTCATTTTCTTTACTCCTTCAACCCCCGACATCTTTTCGATAAATGCCACAATGGATGCTTAGAAAATTGCAATTCTCTTGAGGAAGTTCAAGAAAAAAAAAGGGGGAAACATACAAAGTTTACATTAAGGAATATTAAGACAACAATCTAAGACAATTAAAACAATTAAGACAATTAAGACAACAACAATCAATCAACAATCTTGAGACAACAACAATCTTGAGACAACAACAATCTTAAGACAACAACAATCTTAAGACAACAACAATCTTAAGACAACAACAATCTTAAGACAACAACAATCTTAAGACAACAACAATCTTAAGACAACAACAATCTTAAGACAACAACAATCAATCAACAATATTAAGACAACAACAATTAAGACAATAATCTCGAAAATCTCTATACAATCTAGAAGCTTTAAAACCTTTTTGGAATTTAGAAAAGCATTCTTAGAAAACTTCTTGCTTTCAGAAGTTTTTCATTTTATTGGGTTGGGGACTATGACTCGGCGCCAAACTTTAAAGGGACTTTTTGCACACATAAAGCCTTCTTTAAACATACGTTTGGTTTCATCAAAAGGATCCACTATTTCTCTACAAAATGACTTTTGAGAGATTCCACAAAGCTTTTCTTTCGTGGAGTTTATGGACTCCCAAACACAGCTAGTCAAAATGGCAAAGAGTCCGACTCATCATTTGGACAGTTTCTTTCACATAAACCTTCTTTGGTGTTTATATAAAAAAGATAGAGCACATTCAATTACTTAAGTTGCCAAATTTGCAGGAAGATCCCACCAATGGTTTTTTCTAGATGACAGTTTGTAGTTTTTGTGAAAAAATGGCTTTTTCTTGAGCGGAGGCGCTGTTTGAATTTTCTTTTAAATGTCGTTTTGTAGAGAATTAGTTAACCATTCTACTGATATCAAACGCATATTATTTGACGAAGTCGAATAGAAGTTTTAGACATTTTTTTGATTTTCGGCGCCGAGTCATAGTCCCCAACCCAATAAATCAACGCACAAAATATTCAGTTAAATATGGAAAGAATACGTGAATGAAGCAAGGATAGTACAACTGAAATCTGGCGGCTAAGCCAAACCAGATCCAACTCCAACCCCAGCACAGGCACTAAAGTCTAAGCATAAAGTAAAATCAAGAGCCAGG